CAGGAATAATGTCAAATTAGCAACATGATTTGCACTTGCAGTTTTGACAATGAACTCAGGGTAAATTTGCTCCTCTGCACGTGAGTTCTGGATGGCTTTTAGGTTCCATTTCTGCTTTCTGACTAGATTTATAAAACAAACCAACTTCATGCAGACTCCCTCGACAGCTATGAATTTCACCCAGGCAAATTAGAACATGAAGATCTAAGCAAAGCAGATACTGAATTTCTAAGATTTAAAAACAAGGCTGGCAAAATACACTCCCCAAATGCAGCGAGAAGCAAAATGAATCATAATGTTAACTGAATTTATTTTATTTACTCCTTAAACATAGATATAGAACTGCTTCACATCTAATTGACAATCTTTAGGCAGAAATTTAGTACTGTTTACAGGAAGGTAATCTGAGTTGGAAATGCACAATTACTCAAGGGATTTAGTTGTTACTTACACCAGTGGTGTGTAGCTTCATCTTAAACTTTTCAAAATACAACCAGTGCTTTGATTCAGTGGGATCCAAGTCATGGTAGAAATCTCTTGCTGCATACCCAAAGCTATGAAACTTCCTCTCTGGTGTTAGGAGGATAGTGGTTGGTGTCTTCTGATTGGATACGCCTGGATCTCCACCTTCCCATCGCCTATCCAACAAGTCAAACAGCTTCAGTAAGTGATACTTCAGTAAGTGATGTTTGGAGCAGCAGGAAAAATACTGTATTGTGAGAAAAAACATGTGGTGGCAGACTGCAGAGACTGCTTTCCCCTTCTAACAACACTTATTTCAATCCTCATAATACCAAAACCAAGTGGGTTTATTCACATCCAAGAAAAGAGGACTGTCATTTTCATTTCAGATAATTCAATACATTTTGCAGTTAGTCGTATCATTTTTAAGGACATAATCATACTCTGTCTTTGATAAGGATACAGGTTCCCTGAAGTAAGCCATGCACAATCAACAAGGAAATAATTTTGCATTGAAATTTGCAAACTAAGTGTATGCATGTAATAAATATTGTACAGGAAAAAAGAAATCAAGTCATTACCCAAGAACGCTACTAACAAAAAACCCCAAATCTTCAAAATGAGTGGCCTATCTATTGTCAATCAGAGTCCATGAATGCTTCCTTGTAGGAGAATTTTGAATTAGGGACCTGTTTAAGTCAGCTGAGCACAACTGCAGAGAAGTCGATTAAACGCCTATTTCTCTCACAGAATGCTCTCTGAAGCAAGACAAGCCAGTTCGACTGGAATTGAATCCTGTGCCTAATTTTCTGGACACGTGAAACTCTGAAGAGACGTCTGCAGATGTTGAGTTCTCTGCATTACATTCTCTACTCACCTGAAATTGATGGATTTTGTGTTTTAAATGCCCCAAATGCTGTAAAAATGTTAAGCTGTCAAAGATAAAGCGGACTACACCAACCTTATCTCCACCAAAGCATTTCCCTCACTACTGTCCAGTAAAATGGTGAATAAAACTATCCTATCTTACCAAGATTGTGAAGGCTTCAAGACCCAAGAAGCACAAAAGTGTTAAGGCAAAAGCAACCCAAAGCTTGATTCACAGAATAAATAAGAACACTGAATATGGGAACACCCAGCAGCAAGAATCGAGAGGGCATGGCAGGACAACAAGGTCAGACAGCAGGAAGCACAGACACAGCTGTGAGCATTCTTGTCTTCTCCTCACTGCTCCGTCACCAAAAAAAAACCAGAATGGAAGAACAAGAAACTCACAGTAATGCTCCTCCTCACCCTATATACATGTATTTTCAGCATGGGAAACAAATACTTACCAGAAAACATTTTCTTAAGAAGGCTTTAGTGGAAAATCTGTTTATGCTATCAGACATAAACATAACACAGCTCAAACAGGAGCCAAGTTAAGATCATACAGGCAACTGCATTCATTATTAAACCACATGTTGATTGCTTTTTCCTAAAGATAGCCAAACACACTTTTATAATCTACTACTGCCAAGGTTCTTGTTCTGAAGCACAAAAAGGTTGCCTTGTTTTGTGGCGCTTGTTTCTGTGACATAGGAGATTATGGATGATCTTGAAGGTCTTTTCCAACCTAGTTGATTCTATGATTATATGTAGAAAAAGTTCATCTTTTCCATTTCACCCTCAGAAAGAGTTGAGCCAATTGAAGATTAACGGACTTCCAGACCAAGGCAGACAACTGGCATGGAAAACTACAATCTAAGAGGTTAATACTTGGGAAAGTAACAAGGAACAGGATCTTCTAAGGTGCTGGAAACCCTTCAGGCCACTCAACTAGATCAAACAGAGCAAAATCTGCCCTTTTTGCACTAGCAATGGCAGGAAATCACATGTTTATTCATTTACTTCAGTGTAGAGGGCAATTCCACTGCTCTGAAAGCAGAAACAGCATGATGAGAAATGGAATTATTTCTACCTTCATCTGCTTGGAAAAACTTCCCTAAACCTCCCCAGTTCCCACCGCTCAGCCCCTGAGCTATTATCAGCTACAATCAAGGCTCTGCTCTAGGTCATTTCTTCTAACCTGCTGCTAGCAGTGTACTTTGGTCAGCTTGAAAAATCTTTGTGTAGGTGTTAGAGCAAACATATGGTTGCAATGTGAAGAAGTTGGGATCCCACAGCCCATGCAGAGAAAACGCTGCCTATTTCACCAGATTGCTAAATCCCACACACCCGCTGCAAGCAGAGAGGAGACAGACTGCTATCGGTTTTGCTTGGAATCATTAATGATTCATTCTGAGTCACTGGTGGGAAATTCCATAAATAGGCCGTGGCTAATAACAAAACTTCTTTCCTTTTTCATTATGGCTGGGCACATTCGCTCTGTCCGGAATAAGTACACTTAAGGTTTAAATGAAGACAAATTGATGCTCAGTGGTATGGGCTGAAAGTTTCAAAGCCACCTAGAGAACTGGATGTTCGCTTCCTGATGAGTTTCAGATGGAAACTCGAGACAGTAATTGCTCAGCACATTCTAAAGTTCTCAGCTTGTATTACTGTTCGGTCACAGAAAGAGCAATACAGAAACTGAAGGGGAAATCCGACTTCGCCATTTGCAATCAGAGCTTTAAAAGTATTCCTGTGTGACAGCTTTTTAAGAGAGAAGAAGCTGCAGAGGCATGTGCATGGTGACTCCTGACTGATTGCCCACCCTTCTCAGGTGGAGCAGTCAGTGGAGGATTCCAGTCAGTAGGGGCAGGATTTCACACCATCATCTGCAGTTTTCTTTCAGCCTCCCAATACGGGCAAAATAATGGTAATAATTGCTCTTAGGCTAAAGAAAAACATATGGAAATACCTGTTAAGAGCATAGACTAATACAAGTCAGAAGTAATGCACATAGGGGATAACTTCTCAAAGCAGGTCTGAGCTATAAATCTATTCAAGCAGAACCCAAGGTAGATTTCTGACTAAATTCAGACATGAGACCAGTTCCAAGGCTGATATAAATTGGAGTAGATCCACATATCAGCATAGACCTGTTTATAGCCACAGAGACTCTGACTGCATGTTAAAAGTGAGAGAAAGAGACAATAGGAAAGTTAGCATGGAGGGGATCACAAGGTTATACTAAGGTTAGAGAAATGCCCTGAATCTGGCTGACAGACAGAGCAAAGAGTGATCTGTGCAGAGTGATGAGAATTTGATCCAGAGCTGCAGCACAACAGTCAGGAAAACCAAGCAGTGGGGTCATCAAAACGTAGCTGAACACAGCTAGGAGCGTGTATGCAAGAGAAAGGCAAGTATGTATCTGCCAAGATCAAACAGGGAAGAGAAGGAAAAGGAAAAACCTGAAGGTTGAAGTAAAGTTATAGTGAAAAAAAGAGCACATTCTCCCTCCTTCCAAAGGCAGGCTGCAGTTTGTTTCATAATCATGTGCATCATTCCATTTATTTTTCTCCATTTGTGAAATACATTCAGACTGCTGCTACTCAGCCAGCAGCCAAAACATGTATAATTTCACTTAAGTGTATATAGATCAATACGAGTTTTTCCAAACCCATGTAATACCTTCTGTATTCCCTCCAACAGAGACATTATTAACTCATTCTACAGCTTTCACTATGGCTCTGGCAGTGCCCCTACCACTGAAGTGCTTGCTAAACTCATGGCCAGGCTCTTAGACATGTTGCTCACAGTCTCAAGGTATGCAGAAAACAGCACTCATTTTAACATGTGCCTCTACTCTGCAATAAAGGCATGAAGGTAACCACAGCTATCTGGGCCCTCAGCACAAGAGGGATGTGGACCTGCCTGAGTGAGTCCAGAGGAGGCCATGAAGATGCTGTGAGGGCTGGAGCAGCTCTGCTCTGGAGCCAGGCTTAAAGTGCTGGGCTGGGTCAGCGGGAGAAGAGAAGGCTCCTGAAGGGGAGACCTTAGAGCAGCTCCAGTGCCCAAAGGGGCTACAGGAAAGATAGAGAGGGACTTTTTAGAAGGGCCTGTAGGGACAGGGCAAGGGGAATGGCTTGAACCTGCCAGAGGGGAGACTGAGATGAGCTCTGAGGCAGAAGCTCTTCCCCGTGAGGGTGCTGAGGCGCTGGCACAGGGTGCCCAGAGAAGCTGTGGCTGCCCCATCCCTGGCAGTGTTCAAGGGCAGGTTGGACACAAGGGCTTGGAGCAACCTGCTCTAGTGGAAGGTGTCCCTGCCCACGGCAGCGGGCTGGAACTGGAGGAGCTTTAAGGTCCCTTCCAACACAAACCAGTCTGGGATTCTATCAACTTTATAGAAGCTGTGGAGAACTAGCAAGAGTTGACAGGCATGAATTATTACCTTAATTAAAATTGATAAAACACTAACTTATGCTAGGCAATCAAAGTGCAGTCATTCATCCATCATCTAGAAACACACACCCAACTCCAAATACACGCTTTAGTCTATTGATACAAGTGAGGCTACTCACGCATTTAAAGCTAAGTATATGCTTAAAGAACCTTGTTAGGTCAATGTTTATACATTCTTTTTTTTTAGTACTGGGCATCACAGCAATTAAATATACAGAGTCAAAAACCTGACCTTGTCTACTAATTATATGATTAGAATCACAGCTTTGCTGATACTACACTCAAGTGTGGCAGTAAAGCCCTGGATGTTTGCTCTTTTCTGAAGCAGGACCTTCTAAATAAACCCATCTTACCCATTACTGAGACAGTTACAGAAAAGCAGCTTTGTTAACAGGCAGTCAGAAATCTAAATGTCTGGAAAGGATCAACACTAAGTAGGGAAGGTGGAAAATATGTGAGGAAGCAAAGAGGACGATGCATCACTGGTAGGCTTTATTTTCATGTAAACATTCTCGAGTGCGGGTGGGAAGTTACATTTACTCTGCTGAAATATCTGTAAATTATCCAACATGTGAGGCCCATTATATACAGAGTTTGAACCTCTTAATACCTTCTGAACTACTGAAGCCTTATTTTGATACATACACCATTCTTTTCATTGAATTTCATCATTCATGTGTGCTTGTATGTAAATATCTATAAAAATATTATATACGTGATTTCATAAGTCAGTTTGGTATAACTTCCCAAAAATCCTTCCCTGTCAGCAATATTTATTAAGGAAAAATAAATCATTTTTGGTATTAAAACATTTTCCATTGTTTGAAACACCTTGTTCGAAACCTGAATACATTTCCCCTCCCAAAATATGTTCCTCCCTTCTGGTTGAGGATCTATAAATCAACTGGTTTAATTTATTTTTACATCTGTATCTCATATCTACACAGGTCTGAAATTGCAATCATGCTACCAGTACTGAATAAGGAAGAAAAAGTGGTGTTTTGAACTACAAGTAGTAAAATGTCAATTAAGATTTGGAACGTAGTCTCAGCTGGCCACACAGTACCTAGATTTTAGTGTCCCAGCAGGGAGACTGGAAAGAGGATCTAGTCTGCAATTTAGTGCAGTTTCGTGTGAACTCAATAGCAAAAATTGGGTCCTGAGGCAAAATTTTGAGTCCAAAGAGCATAAAGGACATCCCTAGAAATAGCAGTGATTTCACTTATAGGAACAACACTAGGTTTGTTCAGATACAGCTTCAGAGATGTCTTTGCTCATTTCATTTTCTTCTTTGAGAAAGTTGATTAATCATGAGCTGTCATAAGACAAGTGGAATCCATAAAGTTACAACTCAACAACCCTGTAACCTGTCTGAGACAGCAACACATGGCCTGTCCTTTGACTTCCAGCTTCATGCAGCTTCCTGTGCTGTTCAGAGAACAATAGATGGATGAGATGCATAAAAGGCCTTGAAGCATTACTCACCCATACTGAAAATGACAAGTATCTTTGCAACTGGATGCAAAATTTACCTCCCTTTAGACAGTATTTCAAATCACTCAGCTGCCCTGGATCTCTGAAATAGTTGCAGCTGTACACAAAACCAGCTATGCAGGCAGTCTGCACAATCCATAGTGTCTGCTGAGACTGAGAGAGCTGCATTCAGCTAGCATCTTTGCTTCGAAAAATCAAGAATATCACACTGGACTACACCAAGTCAGTCTTTTTGCCCTTTTGTTCTCAGGATTACACTGCTGCAAACAGGACATTACCTACAGCAGCTTTGTCCAGATAACTTGTATGGTTAAGTTTTTCATAAATACCTTGTTTATATCTGAAATTATCTATACCTTGGACCTGTTACAACACAGTCATTTTAAGGATAGTTTAATAACAACTGTATAGGTTTTTAGTTATAAAACCAAGTTTCTAAAAAAGCATATAAAACACCATAAAAATGGTTTGTGGGGCAGTCCTTTCAGGCATCTGCCATAATAGTTTTAGCATTTGTGATTGCATTAGATTTATATGCATAGATTTATATGGTGTTGATTTAATCAAGAAATAAAAAATACCCAACCTACATAATGGCACCTAAAAGTCCCTTACATATATATAATACAGAACAGATTTCTCAAACCTAAATTTTCACATTCATGCCTTTAGATTGCTTTTTTCCCAGTACCACTGGTTCATTATCAGAGATTCAATTTAAATTTAATGCTAAAAAGCTTAAATCAGCCAAATGAACTATCAGTTTCTGTGTGCGAGTAACTAAGCATTGCAGACACAATTGCACACAAGCACGATTTCAAGGGACAGGCAGCACCTCTGAAATGCCATGACCCTGAATAAATGTGCAGTTTCTCTCAATCTCTGAGAAAGGGCATCCTGACTTAATAATTACCACTGCTCCCTGAGCAATTCTAAATACTCTCTGATCCCTCCCTTTCCTCATGTCATCTTATAAACACAGCAAAAGAGAGAGGATGTGTTCACATTGATTGTTCAAGCCAATTAGAATACAGTAAGATGCAACAAAAAGCTATAACCATGACAAAGGTATATGCTGTGGCAACACTAAACAAATCTGGACACTCCAGGCTCTTGTAGAGAATATCTATAGCTACTGCAGACAGGCCATGCTATCACGATCGAAAACTAAATGCTGCATTGCAGCCCTTACCTCATTACATGAATACATTCTGGTTCCTTGGTGAAGCTGTAGGCGTAGCCACTGGATGTTGTGCCAAAATCAATAGCCACAACAACAAGAAATAACTGTTCTACAGCATCATCTGCATCAGAGTCCTTCTGTTAAATAGCAGAAGCAAAATAGACACCAAGTCACTGATTAGAGTAAATGTAACCTGTCTTACCCTTCAGTATTTCTGCTCTCTGAGACATGCACATCTCTTCAGTGGAAATAAGGTCTTCCCTAAAGTTACATTTGTGACAGAAGCTGATACCATAAAGCTGCACATTTCAATGGAAGTGGAAATTCCATATATATCTCAACATATCTCTTGGAGCTTTTCACACGTAACCTTCCGAATCAGGAGTTTCCTTCACATTCATTTTTTGGAATAGCTATTTGCTGGTATCATTAAAACTTATGGCTGAACACTGAGTTACTTTGTTTGGGGTTTTATTCTTCAGGTGATCAATTTTAGGAAACTTTTATAACCATCAACGTGGTATATTTTGGATTTATTTGGTGGTTTTAGGAGTAAACCATGTCATAACCTTAAACATGAGGTACTACTGCCATTCAAAATCAGGGGAGATAGAACAATCCAAAATACAGCCTTAAGCTTTACATCCCATGATGATTATTTATTTATAAGGAATTTACATAACACTGATTTTGTAAGCATTACGTGCATTCTTTCCTCCTGCCTGTGCTAGAATGGGGAAAGCTGCTGAGCTGCTAACAGTGAATTTGAATCCTGCTCCCTGCCTTTTACCTGTAAACCTGCAACCCCTGAACAACACAGTCAAGGGCAATGAGGGAACATTAAGAAGAGGTGGAAAGCTTATGGCCCAAATGATAATGACATGATATAGAGTCCGATGTGAATAAACAAGGAATTGCATCACTCCCTAGTATGCTGTTGCCTAACATAAATCCTGTAGAACAGAGGAATAAGTAATGAACAGAAAGAGCTACTCTTCACAAGCTGATGTGGTTAAAGCACCAACAGCTTAGCAAGACAGGAAGAGAATAAGCTGTAAATACTTGGTGAAAAGGCTATGTGCTACAGGCAAGTCATAGTGAAGGAGGGTAACACACCCATCTGCACTCACATCATTTTGGCAAAATCACCATGGAACAGACCTGTTGACCTACTACCATATAGGTCATGTCTGAATCCTCCACCACTGCTGCTCAGCCTGTACTTTCAAGAACACTCTGAAGCAACTGTTAGTGTCTTTTACAGAGGAACTGCCAAATGTCCTCACTCTATGAGCAGTGTTCCAGCATCTTCCAATGCCTAAAGGGGGACTACGAGAAAGATGGAGAGGGACTTTTTAGAAGGGCCTGCAGGGACAGGGCAAGGGGAATGGCTTTAACCTAAAAGAGGGGACATTGAGATGAGCTCTGAGGCAGAAGTTCTTCCCTGTGAGGGTGCTGAGGTGCTGGCACAGGGTGCCCAGAGAAGCTGTGGCTGCCCCATCCCTGGCAGTGTTCAAGGCCAGGTTGGACACAGGGGCTTGGAGCAACCTGCTCTAGTGGAAGGTGTCCCTGCCCGTGGCAGGGGTTGGGACTGGATGAGCTTTAAGGTCTTTTCCAACACAAACCAATCTGGGATTCTATGATTTTCCTCATATATCAGCATTATCTCTCCAAGCCTGCTACTTCCAGCACCTTTCTATTGTACCCCTACCTTTTCCAAGATTATCCCATAGGCGTACTACTTAAAATGCAGAAACAAGAGTAATAAGGTTTGGTCTGAAATAATAAAACACTTGTTAGGGCCCTCCTAATACACCTTTTCAACTAGGGTGATGTGGTTTTTTATGTGTCTTCCTCAAACCGTTTAAGGAGAAAAATCTAACTGAAAGAGGGTATAAATTCATCACTAGGACAGAAGAAAAAGGGAATAAATTCTAGGCTATATGGAGAAAGAAAGGAATAAGAGTAAAAATTTAGGAGAGTGCGCTCTGGAAATCTTGAAGAGGAATGCTGCACAACTCTGAACCTGATTCAAAAAGCTAAGGAAAAAACCTGGTAAGGATAGCAATGTGTTCTGAACATGACCTTTTGCAATATCAAAAGAAATACACTGTGCATATACTGTGTTACAGATAATGCAGATGACCTTAAAAACAGATGGGACCTAATTTTAATGGGAGTTTATCAACAAAATGATCATAATGTGCAGGAGATTAAAACACACTACCTTTATGGGACATTTGCTTGCTTCTGAAAGGTTTTCCTTAAGAAACTAAACCAGTTCTATTTTGAGCTCCTCTCTCTATATGTGCATTGGAGGAGATTCTTTTCTCTAGGAATTTGGATTTTACTGTTGAATATCATTTATATCCTTTTTTTCTGAACAGAATAAGACATTTCAGGGGCTGCCTAAACAAATCAGTGACAGACAGGAACAGAACTTGGGAACCCTGAGGATCAAGAAGCCCCTGCGTTGATATAAAAATATGCAGGAGCAAATCTATCAGCTCAGCAAGTAGACAAAGCAAAATCAGGACCCCAGTGAAATGAATGAGAGCTCTGTCACCAAACCCACTGTGACCAAAAGTTCACTTAAGACTACAGGTAGCATAAAAGGGATCACTATGGAAAGAAATGACGACTTTCTAAAGAAATTATGTCCCACTAAACACACAACATACAAGAGTGCATTTCTTACCACAATATGTGATGGAGACAGTGGAGTGATTCCAGGGTCTCCCAAGCTTTTGGCTGGTGATGAGTAAGCAGATGTGGAAACTGCATCTGAAAGGAAACCAAAATTCCTCAGTGTCAGTATGCAGAATGAGTAGGATAGAACAGTTGTTTACTGCTACACTCTTCCTGTTGTAACAAATCTGCTCAATAAGAAAGCAAATTCCACAGCAGCTGTGTAAAATATATATTTTTGCCTTTACAGCATACTATGAAACAACCGCAGGTTTGGTTTTAAAACATTTGTCTGACCTTCACAACTAACTTCCATTCTTTTGCCTATTACATTATCATGTACTTTCTAAACATAGTGAGAAGTCACAGTTGATACGAGCAGCTTGAACACTATACACTCACATTAATAACCTCAGATTTAAGTGTATGAATGCAGAAACTAAACACAAGTTGTGAGATCAAAAAGGACAGACTCATTTTAAGAGCAAAAAAGGAGTTTGTATCCATTTGACAACGCAGTAAGAATAGATTTGAATTATTCCACCATGAGCCTTTATTCTGAAACTTTCCCAATACTGTCTCTGTTTTTATTCTTCAATGAACTCTGCACTGAAACATCTTGCAGCTGTTAATATTACTGCAGGATAGAATCCAGCTGGGAAAAAGGAAAGTATTAGTAACAAATCATCAAAGAACTATTTCTACCCTGCATACAACACTGAAATGTCATTTAAAGGAACACACCAAACGAGTGGCAAATACTGTGATGCACTATTTGTATTTTTCCTTCTTGTATTTACCCTGTTGATGACAGAAAGGGAAATGGTTTATTAAAATAATTAAAAACTGATGACTCAGGTGGATTTATTTATAATATGTTATTTTATAACGACTGCAATAGTGTATCAAAATGGAATGTAGAAATGGTGCCATAGCCCCTGGCCATGCTCATATCCCTCTGCCCTCAAATTTAAGCCTTCACTTTATTGATTGCTCTTCTATAGTATTTTATTGGGTTTGCATGGTAAGGTTCTGGTAGCAAGATGGGCTACAAGGATGGCTTCTGTGACAAGCTCCTAGAAGCTTCCCCTGTGTCCAACAGAGCCAGTGCCACCTGGTTCCAATACAGACCAAGGCCAAGCCCATCAGAAAGAGTGGCAGCACCTCTGGGATAACCCTGTTGGGGGAATGACCCAGCATCTGCAGCCAGAGGGAGGAGTGAGGATGTATCTGTGAGAGGAACAGCCCTGCAGACCCCAAGGTCAGTGCAGAAGGAGGGGAGGAGGTGATCCAGGCACTGGAGCAGAAGTTCCCCTGCAGCCTGTGGTGCAGCCCATGGTGATGGAGGCTGTGTCCATGGTGGAACAGATACTCACTTGCAGCCTGGGGAGGACCCCACACCAGAGCTGGGGGATGCCTGAAGGAGGCTGTCTCCAGTGGGAGGGACCCCACATTGGAGCAGAGGAAGCTTGCGAGGAGGCCTCCTCTGAGGAGTAAGGAGTGGCAGAGACAGTGTGTGATGAACTGACACAACCCCCATTCCCTGTCCCCCGGCACCACTGGGAGGCAGGAAGTAGAGAATTTGGGAGTAAAGTTGAGCTGGGAAGAAGGGAGGAGTGGGGGGAAGGTGGTCGGTGTTTTTTAAGATCTGGTTTTATTTCTCATTACCCTATTCTGATTTGATTGGTAATAAATCGAATTGGCCAATTTCCAAAACTCAAGTCCATTTTCTGCCTGCGTCAGTAACTGGTGAGTGTCTCTCCCTGTCCTTACCTTGACCCACCAGCCTTTCATTATATTTCCTCTCCCCTGTTCAGCTGAAGAGAGCAATGACATAGTGGCTTTGGTGGGCACTTGGGGTCCAGCCAGGGTCAAAATCCCACCACAAGAATACAAGCTAATTAGATGTAAAGCAGAATTATTTAGCAAGTCTCTAAAGATTAATAAATATTAAATAATACATTTCAACATATTTTTAGCACCTGCTTGGGTGTATCACACAATAAAGTGTATGTTTATTCATAGCATGTAACTCCTAGACACAACTGACAAGTCAGGACATTATCCTAAGATGACACAGGAACTGCTCTCCAAGAAAAGACCCTTTAACTACTTAATGAAGAATTCTATTGTTCTTGGTTAACACGTATGTGTTCTTTCCTACAGAACATGCAAAAACTCTGCAGTGGGCAACTATGGGGTAATCTGCCCAGAGGAAAAAAATCCTCCTCCAATTCTTAATATTGCTCTTACAACAATTACTTGTGTTCAAGTTACAATATGCATGTTCAGCCTGATCTTCAGAAGTATTTGCAGAAGCAGAATATCCTCATTTCCCACACAAGTTCTTCAAGAACATATTATGTTACTCCTCTGATGGTGAAGTACAAAAAACCACAGACCAAATGTGGCAAGCACAGAATCTGCTTGGTTCATTAAGATACATTTGGATCAGATGCTGCTATCAGCCTCAGATGCTGCTATCAGCCCCCTTTGTGCCATTTCTTCCTCTTTTCAAAACATCAATTTTTATACCACCAACACTGGGGTTTTTTGTAGAATTGAAGAACAACATTTCAGCACTGGGGGGAAAAAAAAGGAATTAGTAACAAAGCATGTTCCCTGCATCCTACTGCCGTTCGTGACTGCACCTAAACCAATACTCCCTAAGCAGATCAGGACACTGCAGTACTGACTCAACATCTTTGGATACTGGTGCATTTTCCCCACTGAGGACACAGGCTTTGAAGCACAAAAAAGTAGGTATCAGACCATTGTCTATGTGTTTTCAGTGTTTCTCTTTGAATTATTTTCACTACCTGTTTCAGCACTCAGGTTTCAGCCATCTATTTTCCAGCCTGTCTTCAGTTATTAGCCTGGGTGTACCTCAAGAAGTTATTTATAGCTCTATATGCAGCTCAGAAAATCCTGTGTGACAGTACACACATATTTCTGTCTCTCAGAGAGCAGTGATTCAATAACCAGTGCCACATTCATATTTATCTGATGAAACTGTGCTAACTTGGGTGGTATTCTACCAAGAATTTATTCAACCCAATCAACTTGTGATAATCCAGAGGTGTAAAATCTACACAAGGACACTCACTGTATCCACAGGTATAAAAATATTTGCTAATGAATGAAAAATGGAAAGCAGGGTTTAGAGACCTGTCTTTAGCTACTCATTAAAACATCACTTGAAAACAGAAGACAGACATATTTTAATGAAAAACCTTTAAGACAAATTGCCCATTTCAGTTTCAGGATGCTCTCAAGAACTTATGCATAAAGGCTGGTTTTGTGGAAGGGCTGATTTTTTTTCTCATTCTTATTAAATGCCCAACTCTGCTGGAAGGTTAAGCTCTTGGTCATATATCAGTATTTTTGGACAAGAGGGATAAAATCTTTCCAAACCCATGACCATCTGCGCTGTGTTCACTGCTGCTCCTGCAAATACCCAGCTAAACAAAGGAATTCTACAATGCATCCTACATGCCACCAGCCTAGAGCTCTGTAGGCTCAGGAGAGGAAAATCATGGAAGGTAATGCTGCAACTTCTAAAGTAGCAAATGAAAATTTTAACCAAAATATACTGTTCCAGGGATTCTGCAGAGCTGTTCTCATGCTGGCATAAGCAGCAGCTGCATTACACTGCAACTGATTTCATGAGACTACCAACTAATCATGTGTAATAACTGGGGCACCTGTAATTGTTATATCCTAACTCAGCTGTTAAAAGAGGCCCTGACACTACCAGGCAGTTTGCAGAGCTAATAAATGAGTAAGTGCAGTTCAGAATACTGGGGAGTTAAAGAGTCCTTCCAGAATGAATTTATATCTACAGAAAATGGCTTGCAAGCCAGTCACCCTGCAATTAATGCCAAGAGTTCCTCCAAGAAATAGTGAACCAGTTGTTAAAAGCAAATCACAGAATCCCAGATTGGTTTGGGTTGGAAGGGACCTTAAAGCTCCTCCAGTTCCAACCCCTGCCACGGGCAGGGACACCTTCCACTAGAGCAGGTTGCTCCAAGCTCCCGTGTCCCACCTGGCCTTGAACACTGCCAGGGATGGGGCAGCCACAGCTTCTCTGGGCACCCTGTGCCAGCGCCTCAGCACCCTCACAGGGAAGAGCTTCTGCCTCAGAGCTCATCTCAATCTCCCCTCTTTTAGGTTAAAGCCATTCCCCTTGTCCTGTCCCTACAGTCCCTTGTGCAAAGCCCCTCCCCAGGTTTCCTGTAGGCCCCCTCTGAAATTAGGAAATTTGTAACATAATACCATCTACCCTATCTGAACTGCAAGATGTTAAAATATACTTGCCCATGTGGGAGCTTTAATATTTTGTTGAACTAGTGTTTGCTTGGGGGAAAAATGTGCTTGTGTTATAATTTTTACATCAGGGTTCTGAAAAGTGGCAAATGCCTGAATATTCCAGGATATTTAAAAATCCCTTCTCTCTAAAGGGCTGTGACTGGTTGATCTGAAAGAAAAAGAAGCATCTTCGTCAAGCCAGAGAATGGGAAAAGGACTGCACAAACCTGATCTGCAATCCTGTAACAAAAAAAGGATGCTTAGTCTTTATGAATAATTTAAAAAGATATCCTGGATAGTATCATGGCATTTGGAACAGTTCTTAAAAGCAAGATGACTTATTAAGGCTTCTGTAATGAAAAAACCCAATCAAACAGGGTCCCACATAGCTCAAGTTCCAGCTTTATCTCGCATGTTTACCAAGGATCTCCGTGTCAAACTACACACTATGAGAAAACATACAGCTAAACAGCATGAGTTAAATCAACATTTAACTCTTGACAACTTGCCCATCAAAATAAATGGAGGAATTTGACTTGGAATCTAAATATAAGTAAGTCTTCAAACACTTACACTGATATTTAAAATAATATTTATCTAAATATGATGCAAACTTCTTGAGTAGAAATTCTTTAAGTTTATTATGAAAGAATAATATGAATATTAACCTGAAATATGACTGTTTATACCAGGGGGTTGGATAATTCACAGAATGAATTTGACTGCATCCTTACGATTTCTGACTTCAGTCCTAACCCAAGCAATTGCTAAAGAACACCTCGTGCATTTGCAAGGTGGAAGAGTAATGGAAAATAGAGAAGACTCCTGTTTCAGCATTTTATTTCCTCTTTTTATATTCAAAGGGTCCTGTCTGATTTGCAATTAACAATCATAGAATCATAGACTGTTTTGGGTTGGAAAAGACCTTAAGATCACCCAGTTCCAACCCCCTGCCACGGGCAGGGACACCTCACACTAGATCATGTCGCCCAAGGCTCTGTCCAACCTGGCCTTGAACGCTGCCAGGGATGGAGCATTCACCACTTGTTTGGGCAACCTGTGCCAGTACCTCACCACCCTCACAGTAAAGAACTTCTTCCTTATATCTAACCTAAACTACCCCTGTTTAAGTTTAAACCTATTATCCCTTGTCCTATCACTACAATCCCTAACAAAGAGTCCCTCCCCAGCATCCTTGTAGCCCCCTTCAGATACTGGAAGCTGCTCAGAGGTCCCCATGCAGCTTCTCTTCCTCAGGCAGAACAGCCCCAACTTTCTCAATCCTGCCTTTGCGTAGGAGGTGCTCCAGCCCCCTCATCATCCAGACTCCTCTGAACTTGCTCCAACAGCTCCATGTCCTTCTTATGCTGAGGACACCAGAACTGCACCCAGAATTGGTGAAATTATGGAATCAGCAGATACTGCATTAATACTGAATCATGTCCATTATCATATTAGCTACAATTGCTGTTTTAGCAGATTTAATTTAAACTATATTCCTCCTTTTCATCTAAACACATGCAAGAGTATTTCCTGTAGTTTCCTGCAACAGCTAATTAGTTCAGCTTTTCCCGTTTTTCAGTAAATGATCAGCCACTTTCTAGATTTCAACAACATGCAACAAAGCCAGCAACAAAATGCAATGAAGGATTAACCTTTAAGTGTCACAGAACACAGAGTAGAAGCAAAGTCCAGGGCATTTACAAGCACTTCGCTGATGCCAGGTGACCATTTCACTGGTGGCATGTTCTGCTGAATATGACTTTCTATTGGATCTAGAGAGCAGGACTAGGCTTGTTATTTACTTAGAAAGCTCAGTTAATGGCAGCTGGTATCTGAACATTCTGTTCTGAGTATTTGGGAGCCCCTGCTACGCATCTATCCAGGACTGGATAAGGAAGTTTTACAGAACCACTGTAATGGACCATTACAGTGCCAGTGAGACGTAAGAAAGATGACTGCTAAACCTCACAGTTACAAGTCACTAAGGTGGTATTAAAACAAAAAATTTCCTTCAGCAACTACACAAAATATTCTCTACTAAATTCAGTTTTTATGAAGCATTTACCATTAAATAATTCAGCTACACAATGCATCAGCAAAATTTTCTGCTTCACACATTAGGAAAATCAACACTTCTTCTTAGCTTTTCCCACTCTTCTCAGCGCTTGTTAGGCCACACCTGGAATACTGTGTTCAGTTTTGGTCCCTGATGTACCAAAGAGATGTGGACAGGCTGAAGATGGTCCAGAGAAGGGCACAAAGATGACCCAAATAATAGGGAGCTGTATTCAAAAAAGGCTGGGAGAACTGGGTTTGTTCAGACTAGAGAACAGAGGAGACCTTAACACCATATTCAGTATTTAAAGGATGGCTACAAAGAAGATGGAGACTCCTTTTTTGTAAGGAGTCACATGGAAAAGATGGGTGATGGGTACAGTTACTCCTGGAGAGATTCCAGTTCAATACAAGAGAAAAAGTTTCCACAATGAGAACAATCAGCCACTGGAATAATCTCCCCAGGGAAGTGGTGGATTCCCTGGAGCTGGATATTTTTAAGATACAGCTGGACAGGGCGCTGGGACATCCAATCTAGGTCATGCTTTGCCTAGAAAGGTTGGTTCAGATTATCTTTGAGGTCCCTTCCAACCTATCAGTATTGTATACATCTTGTATGAACTGTTCATTTCAACAGCAAAGCAGCACACCATAGCAGTGGATTCTCTGCTAACAGAAGGTTCCCTGCAACCCAAGTAATGTAGACAACAGATAAGCTAAAGTGTGCATTGCCTCCAGGTAAGAATTTGGCAAGTAAAAGCAGGAATTCAGGATGCAGGATACGTTGCTCTACAGCATAAAGCACAGACATGCAGTCAGATAAGGGAAGGGAGGAATTTTCTGAGTATGTCTCATGTCACCAGTTTAGCGAATGGAAAAGAAGAAATAAGGTATCAAGCCCCAAGTCTGCCATCAGAAAACCAAACATGGACCTTTACAGGCACATTCTGCAGTAATTCAGTCATGCCAAAGGAAGAGAAGGCTTGGCCAGGACAGAAGTGTCCTTCCCAAACCTTCAAGACCTCACTTCCAAGTGATGGTGAAAGGGACTCATCATGGTCTGGATCTCCTACAGCTGTTTTGCAAACCAGAAAATAGGCAGCATCATCATGATACCACCTCTCTGTAAGAACATGCCTGAACATTAGCATGGATTTATATCCCAATCAATGTATTTTTAAGTTCATTTCTACTTCTATCCTGCCAGAGTGGCCCCAAACCCAACACTTGCTAATCAAATCACGATTTTCCAAATCATCCATGCTATTTCAGATCGTATGTCTAGCATCTGGAGAAATGCCTTCACAATAAGTCATTTTTTTTCAATCCATAATATACAATGCAATAAATTCTATGTGTTGTAGCGATCCAAGCCTCTGGCTGAGCTCGAGAACCCACTGGAAAGACCTGGATACCACAATCTTTTCTAACTCCCATCTAAGAATGCCTGCAGTACACCTCCCT